AACAAAAATCTCGTATTTGAAATAAAAAATAATTTAAATGTGTTCAACAACAACAACAAATATCAACAATAAATCATTGAGGCGCAAAAATGCCAGCAGAACTTTTAGCAGAACACAAACTGGGCAACTACTGACTAAACCCTCTTAGGCCTAGAGAAAGAGGAGGGTAAAAACGGCGGAAGACTTAACGCCATTACTTAATTATAAAGTGTAGGTACACGCGTAACATCAAGCGGCAACAAAACCCGACATTTACAAACCGTACTCAGATGAACACTCATATACACACGTACACCTACATTAAACTCAAGAGCAAAATCCGCACTCTGTGGACTATTTTTAACTAATGGTTATTCTTATGCTTTGGTGCCAGAGCGAAAGACCCGCCAGCCAAACTCGTAGCGGCAAACTTACAATTCGCTTTCAATCATAATTTCCACAAAATTACAGCAGTTCATGAATGTAAACAGCAAATAGGAGAAAAAACATAGAAAGCATAGACAATGAAAAAAAATCCACGTACATACATACATGAGCCACTTCAGAGATTAAAGCAGATCATAGTGATCAAGCTGATCGCAGTGTTAAAGTCCAGCCAACCATTGGTTTGACTACAACATCTGTGTGCAACATGTTGGCAAGCTCGGCGAGTTTGTTCGACTTTCAAACTCGATTTCGGAAAGAAATGCGAAAATGAAACGGAAATGAAAATCGTGCAAGAAAGCGCCAAACTTGGCTAAGCGCCGTTGGAGTGACCACAGCAAAGCAAGCAGAGAGCAAATGAGTGAGTTAGTGCTCTAGAAAGATCAACAGCTCCACTCTACTTTGCTTTACTCAACTACGTTGCTTCGGCTCCCAATCACCGGTTCAGCATGAGTTGGCTTCAGTTTGAGTAAAAACGTGCCGGCGTGCGGTAACACCTGTCCGTTTGTGTCGCTAACGCGTTATTATACAAAGCCTTGGTAATACAATATTACCGGTAAAAGTTTCTTATCGCGCCTTTCAGTGAATGCCCATAGCGGCTTTTGATTGTGCTTGTGTTCTACAAAGCGATCAAGTTGAATGTTTGCTCAAGCATCACTTCAATTGAAGATTTGTTATTAAAAAAGGCATAGTAGAAAAAAAAATATAATAATAAATTGCCGGTGGGTAAAAGCGAGTAAGTGCTTGTAAAAAAAATAATAAGAATAATTAAACATAAAAAATAGTTTTTTTAATTGCGTGTCGAATTTCTAAGTGTTTCGTTATTTTATTGCGCGTAGCAAAAAAAAAAAAAATATTAGTGAAAATTGAATTGTATTAAGTGCCATGAAACTACAAGATTGTTTGCATGAGAAAGCAAAAATTAAATTATCATTTTAGTTTTTTTATTTTTATTTTTAAACAATAAAAGAGCCACATTATAACAATAAATTATATTTACATAATATAAATATGTGAAAAATATTAACCGTTTATAAGTATATTTTTTTTTTAATTAAGAGAGTGGATGTAATTATTTTTTCACTAAACAAAAAATAAATAAAAAATAGTTAATGTAATATAATAAAAGTGTTATAACTGAGTAGTGATAACAAGTAAGAATAAAGTGAAATTATCAGGTTAATTTTATTAAGTAAATGTTAGTACACATTAACTCCAACGAACCTAGGAGACGATATACAAATTTTAGTACCCGTCATGTAATTTTGAAGAGATTAATTGAAGCCGTTATATGGGTATCACGGCTTCAAAAAAAATTCCGTTTTATTGTCTTACTTAATTTTAAAACATATCTAGAATAGTATCTTGAATTCTCAAGTTAATCCGAGTAATAGTTTTGGAGATACAGCCTTAAAAAGTTGCGTGCTTGAGATCAGTTACATATGTACATTTATAGTCACTTAAAACTTCAACCGCGTTTTCTCGAAACTGTGTTTTCAAAGTCGGTTGTCTAGATTTCTCGCGAACTACTCAATCGATCATAATGAAATTTTACACCGGTTTCCCTGTTATAATTCACAAGGTCTTGAATGAAGAATTTTTTTGTTCAATCACAACCATTTAATAAAAAACTTCGAGAAATGTGCACCAAAATTTGATTTTTTTTTTTGTAAAAACGTCTGCCAGAAATACGAATTTCACTTCTTTTGTTTTTCCTTCGTCCAATACCTAGTTTATGGTTTTAATTAAACACGTATTTTTTCTTTTTTACTTTTGATGAATCTGAGAAAATTCTGCTGTCAATGCGTAGGTCCTTTCTTCAGAGACACTGGCGGAAATGACGTCGTAGTGCCAAGTTTTGAATATTTTCTTTTGAAAATTTCACAAAATCTTTTCAAACTATGTATCTTTGAATTAGTATAAAGTTTGAAAAAAATATTTAATTTTTTATATAACAAAAACTATTGAAAATGGCCCGTTTTTTGCTCGAAGAAATCCATGTAACCCCTTAAGTACATGCAGCTTATTTACGATTAAATAATTTTTTCAACCCTTATACTCACAACAAAAAAAATTTATTATTTTTCTACTTCTTCATAAATTAATAAATTAGTAATTATTCCATCATTAACCATATACACCTCAGTTTACCCTGTAGTACTTTTGTACAAAATATCGTGAATAATGCTCACCATTTTCATGCTTATGCTTCTAAAAAAATACTTGCTGGTTTCCGGTGAATATAATTAATTTGTCTACTGAAGACTATTTGTCTTTTTTCTGGCTACTGCTAGTTTTTTCTACACTTCGTAAGCTGGTGAAGAATGGACTTTTCAACTTAGAGAACGCGCACACCTTCCCAACCCTCAACATCACAAACTTCTTCATCTACACACAGATGCTTATATTTGGGCGACTCGTTCAATCTAGTCACTGTTTTTTTTTTTTTTACTGGACTATGTTGACACCCTTAATTCGTACAGCAGTTTATTTTGGAATCTTATGCGACAACCTCTAATGCTAATGTATTAAAGTTCTAAAATCTCTAGCAAAATTTTTATTTTCGGAATTCCAATAAATAAACTACTTCAATGCTTTGACCGTACATGCCTCGGGATTCTGAAAGGACAACAAGCTCGACTTGTTGATATACATATATATTAGAATATTTGCCAATAGCAAGTCCCCTTCTATACAGTGGTAATTATTACTGTTATTCGGCGTATATGATGGCCTTAAGCTATACAAAATAATCTACATCTTTAGAGTTACGACTGTAAACTGTGACGTTTTTCCCTCCTTCATTACAAAATATATACTTTGTGTTACTTTTAGGCTAATGATATCTTTAATCATCACTCGCCTTAACCATTATTAGAATATTTTTCCAACAATAAATTAGCATACTCAAATAAAGCTTTCTTTGTTAGACTTAAAAATTTACTAAACTAATATCAAATTCATTTAACGGTAGCTATTTAAACATATTTATGTGTTTACGGTACTTTCTGTTCGATCTAATCAACTCTCTAAACTAAAATGCCTATAGAAAGGCAACATTTGTGTAAACTCATATGCGTTACTATTGTATATTTGGCAATCTGTAAAACTATACATTCTAGCTTCACAAGACCATCAACAACCAAAAAAAAACAAAAAACACTGAACAGCATTCGAATCTGCCGTGTTTCACGCATATTTATCAGTCACTACTACAAAGCCTGAGGACTATCAAATAGTTTTTAAAACAACACGCATTGAGCACGCTACATTTACATTTTAGCAATAGAATAACAATACTTACTGCCATTGTATGGATTAAAGAAGTTATCATATGTCATAGTATAGAAAAATTAGAATTTCGATGAAAAAAATTGGAACTGTGCCCAGATGAGCTGTAAAAATATAAAAAGGAAAGGTACTAAGTAATATTCAATCAAAATGTGGAAAAATTAATATTAATAAATTGAATAAAAAGCAAAAAATATTTTAACAGCCCAAGAGCGAAAGTAGCGAAGTGGTTATATAAAAAAAAAATAAAGTCAATAAAGAATAAAAAAATTGTGTAAAATAAGAAAAAAGAAAAGGAAGAGAAAAGTTATTACAATTTTATAAAGAAAAAATACATAAACAAACCTAAGCTACAAGAAGAATATCTTACACTAGTAAACTAAATTCTAATACTTGTGGAATTGAAAATACAGCACAAGCCAAAAAAAATCAATGAAAGAAAATAATTTGGTCAAACATTTTTATTAAAAGATGGTTTTCATTTTTTAATTAATAATTTTTTTTTTATTTAAATAATAATAATAATAATATAATAATAATAATAATAATAATAATAATAATAATATTGATAATATAATTTAGAAAACTTGGTAATTTAATTACTGTGTATTTTGAAAAAAAATATTAAACAAAAAACTAAATTGGTAAATTTGAAATAAAGCCAAAGAAAATGAAAAAAAATAACTTGGTCAAACTTTTGTTTTTATTAAAAAATATGAAAAGCATTTTTTAGTACTTTAATTTATTTATTTTTTCTTTAAGCTTTTTATATTTAAATAATTGCAATTAATTGTTTTATGTTGGCAATTTAATTATTTTGTATTTTGGAAAAAGTTATGAAAAATAAAATAAAATTAGTGTAAATACATTTTTTTGAAAGTTGGTCTTTTAATTACTGTTATTATGAAAAATATATTTAAAAAAAAAACAAGATTAGTAAATTGAGAAAAAAAGAAAAAAATTAAAAAAATAACTTGGTAAAACATTTGTTTATTAGCAATATGAAAACCATCTTTTAATTAATTTACAATCGATCCATCTATTATTTTGTTTAAATTTAAGTAATTTTAAATAATTTTTTAGAAAATTTATAATATAATTAATATTTGTTATGAAAAAATTATAAAAAAACGTAAATTATTAAAATTATATTAAATTAATTAAAACTAACTATTGTTGAATAGAACAGCAAGGTTTATAGAAAAAATATATTGAAAAAAGTTCTATTCTTTGAACTACATTATAAACTCAACAAAAAAAATTTAAATCTAAAAAAATATAATATTGAGAAATATTCATAAAAAATATATCAAATTGTTTCAACAATGTTCCAAAAATTAATAAAGATTTTTGGTTATATATCTCTGTTATTCCACTAATTTAATTTTCATCCATAACGCAGAAAAAATTAAAATCTTATAAAGAGTATAAAATCCGCTAGGCACAATTCCGCTAAACTTAGTATAAATATGTGCGCAAAATTTTTTTCAGCACCAAAAATGTGCAACAAAAAATGCAACATAAAAAGTGACTTGTGAAAATATGCTACAACAGCAACAACAGCAGTTAACAAAACATAAATAAATAAAAATCAAACCTCCGCAAGAAATTCTTCGACAACAGCTTCGTATTAACTACGAGGGATAAAACGATTACAGCGTATAAAAGCCATAATAACAACATAGCCGAACAGCAACAACTACAGCAAAAGCAACGACAACACGGAAATAGTAATGAGTGTGATTGTAAAGCGCCAAAAAACAGGCGATACAGAGCAACATAGAACAACAAAAACAACAACGAGAAACTCATCGATTCCACAGCAATTTGTGGCAGACACATTGTTGTTGTCGCTGGCTTGACGCTGCAGACAAGCTGTATGCATTCCCCATTTTGGCAAAGTGTTAAAGGTGCGTGTACCGAAGTGTTGTTGTGCAACACAACTACATCTTCCTATATATATAAATTTGTGTATATTTACCGTGAATTGTTGTCACATTATCAAGTACTCGCTGTTAGCGCGCCGACGAGCAGCGAGCGTTTTCTGATTTCGATCGCGCGCGCCACAAAACGTTTGCTTCAATTGAATTCCACACACACTGAGAGACATCTTACATATTACATGCGTGTGTGTGTGTGTGTTTACGCAGCGCAACAAAAGCATCGAAAAATTATGCAAACACATATTGTTGTAAACAAAATTATAGAGAAAAAATAAAATCAAAGGAAAATTATGCATAAAGGCTGTCTTCGCCCAGCTCAGCTTGTTGTGACTTTAGGCGTAGCTTACGAGCGTGCGACCCAGTGGTCGCTGCCACCAAATGCCTTCATTTGGTATTCTATGTGTCAACGATGCACATTCACAATTTCTGTAATTTTTTATGGGCTTTTAATTTTTTCGCCATTTATTTCTTATTTGCCGTGATTATTTGTTCGATCTCCTCTACGCATTTGGCATCAAAATGCATGGGGTGTCGTCATTTATATGAGCCTTGACGCGCTTACAATTGAATATTTTTCAGTGGGTTATTTCTTTATATTGTCGCGTTGTTCAGCCTTTGATATCAAATAGCATGTGTCCATACATATATGATTAGATTTATGGTAAATATTGTGTGTGCGCTGGTGTTGTTTGTTTTATGTCTATTTGATATCTTGATGGATGCGCGCTGGTGCATGACCCAATAGGAAATTAATACATTTTTTAAGTTTGTTGTTGTTTTGAAGTTTTGAAAATTGTATTTAATTTCGTGGCATTCGTATGCTTAAATTTTGAGTAATATTATAGCAATTGAAATTTTTGATTCTTTAAGTTTAAGTTAATACGTGCTTTTAAGATTTTCAAAAGAATGTAATTTACTTTTGTTGATTAAGAGAAAATTATTCACACAAAATATAATTATTTTTGCAAATTTTTTTTTTTTTTAACATATAAAAATTGGGAACAAAATCATTATGTTCTTGCTAGAAAAATTTTGTTGTATATTATTTTATGATTCCATACATGAACTTGATTTTGATCGGTCAGTTTGTATGGCAGTGGTTCGATTTGAACAATGTCTTCGGATACTGTACCGTTATCTTAGATAAAAATCCGTGCCGAATTCGGAAAGATATCTCGTCAATGAATGAAAATTATTCGTATGAAAAAGCAATCTCCATGGATAGCTTGAAAAAAAATTTACTAATTCCAAAACTTTTATAAAATAAATTAATATATTACTAGAATTAGAAAAACGCAAATCTTTAACTATACTTCAGAAATATACCATACTTTCCTATACTTTGTCAAACTTTTACAAAACTAGCGGTAAATCCAATGTAATATAAATTTTTTTATAGCTATATAGTACAAAAAATCGTTTAAGTTGACCGACCAATGTTCTTAACTTAGTTTTTAAATTGTTGTTCAAGTATAGTGCGCAAAATTCTATGTAAAGAATCATACCTTTGGTCGATGTAAAATCAAAGACCCTTAAAACCAAATATATTTAGCTGCATAGTAGTAAATTAAGTTTAGCTAAATACTATATCTATAAATTTTTCCATAATTATTTATTCATAATACAAAATTCTAAAATTCGATGAGCCATGCTCAGGTTTAATTAACCATGCTCAGCCATGGTCAGGTTTAAAATATTATTATTATTATCAACTAATTTTATTACTCATGACACAGACGCAAAAACTGGGTATGATAATGAAAAGGTCGTAAATGTCTACATTTAATATATTTTCTAGCTTATTTATTACTTTTTATCCGAAAAAAATTCCTACAGCTCAACTTTTTGAAATACTAGTGGAAGGTATTTGTTATTTGCACAAAATTAAAATTAAGTTAAGTGTGCTGCTGTTTGGTGTTTAACTAGTAAATAATACACAGTAGTTAAAGCGAAGCAATAATTTTTGATGTGGTTTATGCATAATAAATATATATTTGTATGTAGTTACGTATTATATGTATTAAATCCAATATTTACGATAGTTTAACAATATATGCATATTGACATACAAAATAAATGTTTTTAATACTCGTATAATATTGTTTTTCTTACATACCCAGTGTGTGCAAGGCCACCTTTGAAATATATTTATTTGGTAATTATATTTGAAAACATTAAATAAAAAACACTTATGAACATTAAAAATGGGATATTACCTACTCGTATTATTAACTTGCTATATTGGAATAATATATTTCAAGGTATGACCTTAATTACCAACAACATATAAAAATTAGAAGTAAAACTATATTCAAATAGCTTGCATAAGAGTTTAATTGATATTTCAACAAACTTTTGAAATCGGAGTCATATTTTTGAGTTATTTATTTCACTATTCTTTAATAAAAATATTTACAATCGCCTTTAAATTATTTTAATTTTGAATCAATGAAACTAAGTTTCACTTCAATATTATACAGACTTTTAGTAACAGGCTGAGACGGACTCTGACGCCCATTCCCTATGGCCAGACTTACTTTTTTCTACGTAACCAAACTTATATTCAAAATATGTACGTTATATTATCGTTATAGATACCATAAACTCAAAAAATAGTTAGTATTTGTAGTTAGAATTAGTAAACAAAACCCTACATATTCTTAAATCTCTAAATCTTCCACTAGAAATTACCTTAATTGTTTAAGTTTTTTGAACCAAACTATTTATATTTCAAAACGCCACTACATTAACCTAGTATTTAAAATTTTTTAATTATTGTGTTCACTTTTCCACTTTCAATATGCCAATAGATTAGCAATCACACCCACCAAGTTTGTGTCTTAAGTCTTTTGTCTCAATGCCGTCTGGTTGCATTTGGGTGTGGGAAGCGCTTAATTTTCAAGTAATCTGCGCCAATGTCTGGCTTATGGTGACATATTTTAATACGGAAATTTACAAAAACAAAACAAAAACGTGCTAATAACTACAGTCATAGCAATAACCATAAAACTGCAACAAATGTTGTGCATGAGAAAATGAGATTACATTTACAAAAGCAATAACCGTAAAGAACAATATGCGCCGTTATGATGTCATGTGGTGCAGCATTGTATAGCAATCTCAAAGATAATTTTTTAATATTTTTTGAGGGCATTTATGGTATATTGCAATCGCATATATAACAGACAACATAATAAAATCTTTAAAATCCTTTTAAAAAAAAATTTAAAAAATTTTAGACAAATTATTGCAAATTTGTTTTTACTTGATAAAAAACTAAAACCGGACAGCGTTAAACCGTAATTAAACACCTGCTAGTTGCAATTGCGATAACGCGCACGCAATGCAAGTAAACTGTATTGAAAACGCACGCCTAAATTAAAACTGAAGAGCTGAAAAAAAATAAAGAAACTAAAAATATTATTAGCATGTCGGCAAAAATTTGTAAAATCACTTAAACATGTTTACAAATTGTCGCTTATATCGCCATAAACCTTGCACGCATATAAATTACACATGTTTATAACGGTATTAACTTATTAAACAAGGCTTGTGCGCGTTGGTGGCACATTGCTTAGCCATGGCCGCTTGTGTGTAGCTCACTGTCACGCTGCCACACGCACAGTCATAAGCGTTTTTTCATATTTTTTCATGCTCGTTTTGTGCAAAAATTTTTCGAGTGAAAAACTTAATTTGTCAACTGGTTTTTTCACAAGCCTTTAATTTATCGCCCAGCATAGCCAATCGCTTAATTTACTAATTTCCAGTTGATAAAATGTGCACGCTTCAAAAGCAACATCAACAGCAACAAACACTGCATTTAATTGCTACGTTTTAACGCTTAAATGCAGCTTAAGCTTTGATTACTTGTACGACGGGTGGTGGTAATTCCAGTAGCTTAAGCTGATGTCTGTAATTGGAGGGGATATTAATCACTTAATTGTACAAGTGTGTGCATCGTTAAAGAAAAAAAGTGCTTTAATATTTTAACCTTCAATTAAAATGCTTTTAGGAGAAAATTTTAGTTTCACTTTTATAGAAGCGAGTTAATAAATGTATATAAATATACATATGTACTATATATAGATAACATATGAGATATGTGTCATTGCTAAAATCGAAGAAACAGGTTCATTTTTCAAAATTATTTATTGCCTTCAAAAAAGAGAATCTGCTTTCAGATTGGTCTAGTTTCACTTTATTTAATTTTTAATGAAATACCTTACAAAATGGTTTCATTTCACAGAAAAATAGGTCTATAGAATTTAGCACAATAAAATAGGGATTGTAGACCTTACAAGGTTACACTGTCATTATTAAGAGATTATCTCAAATTTACAATACTAAATAATAAGGCAGCCCTAGGCACTGGGGTCTACATATTTGATATCTTATCGATTTTGACAATTTCATGACGTGAGATCCGATACCCTAAAGTCACTAGTTGTGCAAAGTTTTATTTCGATAATATCATTGACTGTCGAATGAATTTTCTGTAAAATAAAAGATGAGATAGAGTTTAAAATTGCTATATATGTGAAATAGGTGTGGTTGTTGTTCGATTTCGGTCATACTCACACCGTAGTATATTGTTGGCATAATGAATTGCAGCTAATTTGGTTGAAATGCCACGCAGGTTGTCGAACTTTGTCACCGGCTCTTATAAAACTCTGTCTCATATAGGATGTGAAATGTAATTATTCCGATGCATTTATTTAGTAGTTTTTAAACTAGTATACCCTTTCCAAGTGCAATTCACTGCACCCAAATATAATATGTTTTCATATAATGCCATTTCCATCCATCATCAATACCAAACTTCATATGGTGCCAAGAAACATGTGTACCAAGTTTCATCAAGATATCTGAATTTTAACTGAAGTTATAGCTTGAACGGATGGACGAATGGGCATTATGGACAGTTTTATCATCTTCGACGCGATTGGGCCGTAGCTTCTAATATCCTT